CCAGATGCCCAAAGTAATTTGTACATACCACATTTAGGGAACTTACAAAAATTTCATGGCAATTTTTGAATTAAATGTCTCTCCTACTTCCAGGACTTCAAGGCCATGTCTCCTTACTCTTCAGCACAAGGCATCTGGTACATGCACATGCAGTAATGAACAATAAATACTTGTTGAGTAAATGAATGAATGAACATCCAAATAAACTATTTTTCTAAGAGATAGACTTTCAAGCTCTATAGTAATCACAATCAGGAGGCTCATATTTAAATTTTTCTAGAAAAATGTTTCTTCTATATCCCACATTTCAACCACCAGGTAATATGCTTAATTCTCATTTATTTCATTTCTTTCCTGAAAACTCAAAACTCTAACTTCACAGAAAATGATATAGTTGAAAGAATTTGAGGATGGATGATAGTTTATTTTTCAAGTGCCAAATGGACATTGTGAAGCACAGCATCTTTGGTCATAGGCTTTGTCCACTGACACCAGAACATTCTAGGAAATGACATTTTAAATAAACAGTTTCAAGTCCAGTAAACCACAAACACAAAAAAGTATTCAACAATACTTCAAAGCAAATAGCCTTCTGTTGACAGTTACTCAGGAATGACTAATTATATTTACAGAGCTCTTCTGTTAGATTAACTGAATATAATATAAGCTGATGGTTTGGGCAAAAGAGTGAATCTATAAGAGTGGTGAAAGCAGAGGACAAGGGGGAAGATACCAGAAGAATGAGTCTTAGAAAAATATTTCCAAATATCACAGAGCCCCACTGGACCAAAGCTTCAAGTTAACAATCCCCACTGAGGGACTCTGACATGCATACTCTATGACTTGTCATCCAAGGAACAGCATCCAAAAGGAATCTCACTTTTCTTGGAAAAAGAGATTGTTACAGCTTTCATATATTTCACCAATTAAGCAGTTTGAACACAATGTAATTAAGTAAAATAATTATAAAACCATTTATTGGCCTCAAACCCAAAGCCCAATTTTTTTTTTTGAGTTGGAGTCTCACTCCATCACCCAGGCTACAGTGCAGTGGCATGCTCATGGCTACCCCAACGTCAACCTACTGGACTCCGGAGATCCTTCTACCTCATCCTTACAAGTAGCCAGAATTACAAGCATGTGCTACCACACCCGGCTAATTTTTTTTTTTTTTTTTTTTGTAGAGACAAGGTCTCACCAAGTTGCCTGGGCTGGTCTCGAACTCATGGGCTCAGGCAATCCATTTGCCTCAGCATCCCAAAGTGCTGGGATTACAGGCTGAGTCAACAAGCCCGGCCAAAGCCCTATTTCTTATCAAGTATAATCAGCAAGTTTTATCCATAACTCACACATCACATGTTGGACCTAGTTCTTCACATTAAAATAACAGTCAATCTACAATCAACTTTAAAATTAAAGAGTAAGATTCAATGGGAATAATCACAGAAAATGAGGTGCTGAATGGATACTGTGCATTCTATCTAAGCAAGATATGAAAGCAGGAAATGACTAGGATAAATTTGAGACTCCTATAAATTTAGGATGAAAATGAAAAAAAGTGAAGGGTCTCCATCACACAAGGGATGGTGACTTAAATAGTAAAAGGAAAGTATTTTAGGGTTATCATAGCAGGTATCCCTAAAGTTACATTAATATAACTAACATATTAATTTAGGAGGCAAAGTAATCACTAACGAAGGTGGAGGTAAAAAAAAAAAATCACCCTCTCTTAAATAAAAATACAGTAGTGTCAGAGTCATGCTTATTAAGTTATAAAAGATAACATTCATTGAGAACTTGGGTTGAGTCAGACTCTGTTCTAAGTAAATTATATGAGTACTTTCTTTAATTTTCAAAGCAACTTTATGAGATAGAAACTATTATCATCCCTATTTCACAGATGAGAAAACTGAGGCACAAAGAGGCAAAGTCACAAGGTCATACAGTTAGAAAGCTGCAGAACTAAGATTTGAACACAGGCATCTGACTCCAGGGTCCTGTTTTTTGACAGAATACCATGACACCTCATAACACATACTCAAAAGAAATATTACTCTTTATTTTAAAGTTTTGCTAATATCTTTACATGAGTTTTTAGAAATGTTTTAGAGATTTAAGTCCTGAATTTAAGGGACTGATCACTAGCCATCAAAAGCAACTAAAGTCAAGGTACTTTCAGAGCTGGAAAAAGATACTCAATTCACCTTTGCATGGTGTTTGGCATTTATCCATGCAACTAAATTCACTTCAATTAACTGTGGTTTAGGGTCCCATGCTGAGTATCAAAGAAATGAGATTCAAAGCTTAAAGAATTTCATTTAGTGCATTTGACACTTAGTGGATCATTTTTTAACACCCTATTCCTCTATAAGTTAGTTTAAGTAGCAATGAAACAATAATAGTAATGGTCAGAAAAGAAAAAAAAAATTGTATTGAAACTCCATCCAATTAATGCAGTCAAAAATTTAAAAGTTATAAAACACTATAATATAAAATAAAAAATGAATAAAAGCTAAAATACTCAATAGTTTTTATATCTGCCTAAGAGTTTTAATTTGAATGTTTTGTTAAAAAAAAGACACAATTTTTATTCTAACCTAGAGCAAATAAAATACTCTAAAAGCTTACAGTTGAAAAAGATAAGGAAAATGAAGTCCAGAGAGTTCAAATGACTTGTGCAGGGCCAAAAAAGCAGACTATACACTGAATAACCTAAAATCCAATTCAGATGGACCTGGTTTCTCCTGTTTCTCCACAACCCTCCTTCCAATCAAGCTGATGGAACACAATGAAATAAAATTAACTCCCAAGCTAAACATCTGTGCTTTATGAAGAGGAAAAATGTTTGACTTCTGCTTGCTTTACTCTAGAACCCACTTCATTCTGGAATGATGTGAGAAAGAGAAAATAGAGATAGCCATGAATATTGTTCAGGGAAGGGGAGAAGGAGAGAATTCACACAGAGACTTCCAGATCTGTGTTTTTCAGTTTTATTTGCTGGATAATTTCTTTCTGCAAACCTTGCCCCATTTTAAAAGTGAATGTTGAAACTCAGTCTATATTGATAACTATGTGTGTAGGTCCCAACTCTATTCTAAGGGTCTTAAGGACAAGCTTTAAACCTCTCTCCGTGCCTGGCTTTTTGGCTTTTACAAAAGGTATAGTAGTTGCTCAGGAATCTTTTCTTCATGTATGGTAATGATGGTAAAAGTGTAAGTATATACACTGTAAGATTTACAATTAATATGCTTTCTTTTTAAAAAAATGATCCTGTATTCAGGTTACCTAGAGTTTTTTTAATGAGTTTATTTTAGTGAGTCTCAAACTGGGGCAATTGTTTCCCCCGGAACCCCAGAGGCATTTGGTGATATCTGGAGACATTTTTAGTCATCAAAACTAAGGAAGCAGAAGCCAGGGATGCCAGGGATGCTATGAAACAGCCTATCGTGTATGGGACAGACCCTGAAAATAAGAATTATCTGTTCCAAAATGATGTTAGTAGTGCCAAGATTGAGAAACACTGGAAGAAGAAAGAAGAAAAAAGAAAGAAGGAAGAAGGAAGAAGGAAGAAGAAGGAGAAGGAGAAGGAGAAGGAGAAGGAGAAGGAGAAGGAGAAGAAGAAGAAGAAGAAGAAGAAGAAGAGGAGGAGGAGGAGGAGGAAGAGGAAGAAGAAGAGGTAGAAGAAGAAGGAGGAGAAGAAAACCATGACTACCCTTTCACCTCTCCATTTTTAAAACACAAGTCAGATATAAATCAAAATGGTACAACAAAGATTTGCCTCAAACGAGACAATTTCAGCAATCTACTGTTAAGAAGATAAACACTTATTTAATGGGCCAATTTATAGGATTAGAGGGGTTTACTAAAAGCAGGAGGGAACACATGAATTTAAAGATATGTTCTTAAATAAGCAATGGAATACTCTGATTTTTAGTGCATCTGAAAATGAGGTTATTCCACAGTTGTGATATAAGAGTTTCTGCTGATGAGACATTTTAAAACCACCTCTGATCTGATTCAGACAGGAAACTCTTATGTCAGACTATTTATTATTTGTTTTTAAAAATTTTTTTATTTTAAAGACATGGGGTACAATTCGGGGTTAGGTATACAAATGGCCATTGTACAGTTAAAGTTTGAGCCTCACTTTGGTCTCCATGTCACCTGGTTGGAGCCCAGGTACCCTTATTGATGAAGTGTGCCTCCCCACTCCCGGCAGTTTTCCACTACTGCCAATCTCTTTCTTATAGTATTATGATAATTGTTCAGGGTCTGCTTATGAGTGAGAACTTGGATGGATTTAGAGTCTGTAATACTCAGTGATCTATCACAGAAACAAATAACTATTTCATTATTTCTAACCATACTCACAAACTACCATTTTGACCATCACACAAAGAGGAAATGTAAGTTTTTGTTTGCAAATTCAGTCATCAAAATAAACTGCTTTCAGTATCAGCCCTTCCTTTTTATGCCTGTCCATCTTTCCCATGTCTAGGTTACCTGGAAGGTCCATCTTTTCGGTTTGGATTCCTCATTGTGACTATAGGAAGCGTTCTTTCAGTCCTAGGCCATGCTCTTTGATTTCTATCATGGAAAGATGACTGGTCTTTCTCCATTATCCTAACAGCCTAAACAAGTCTTAAGAAGAATAAGGAAAAGGAAGTAGGAGGTGCTGCTGATTTTTTTTTGCTCATGTTTGCTAATATTTTCCTTGAGTAGTCTTTAGCTGATGTGGTTGCATTTGCTTCAGTTTTATTTGTTTGTTCACTTTCCCCAGTGGCTGATAATAATATTTGCTACTTTGGAAGTCTGAAGTGTATCTGAATAAAAGTTTCTTTCTTTAAGAAAATAAGGTATTCTTTTCTGGGAATCAACTGACCTCAGAAGGGTCTTTGAACACACCATAGTAACTAATCTGTTAAGTATTTTGTGTATTGAGTTAAACATGTCACTACTGAGATCCTCGCACATTGGTTAACAATTTTCTCAATATTTACCAAGATCTTTAATAAGTGAGAGTGCTTCCCATGATATAAAGGCTCCACCACCATCGTCCATGGCACCCTGCCCAACATCCCAGCTGTCCAGATGTCCACTGACCAGTACAACCTAGAACAAATAATAAAAAGAGAAAAAAAAAAACTAAGCAAAACTGACATCAAAGAGGAAGCATTCATAGGCATTCCAAATACAAAAATGAAACATATATTATCTTTTCTATTTTTACATCATAAAAGATATGTGCCATTGCTAGTGAAAAACTTGTTATTGAGGTGTTAGATAAAGGGCCTAAGCCCATCCTGGTAGTAACAAAAATCCTCATTTTGTACCTTTTTTTATTAATATAATTGAGTACTAATGAAATTGGTTTATTGTCAGATGCTTGATACATTTATTCTGTGGCTTAAAAAGCAAATGACATAAAAATGGAGCTCAAAACTTCAACCATATTCTCAGTTGTCCCCAATTCTAGAAGACACATAATAAACATGTGTTAAATTGAATTAAAATTTTTAAAAATGACAAGATATTTTTTTAAAGTGATTATTTTGTGCATTGTAGACTGATGTTGAATAAATCAATAGCTGGATTTAAAAACTAAATCTAATTAAACATAAGAACTTTTCAGAGAGATTTCAATTTGCATTAGTGTTAAATAAATCTAGAGATAAAAAAATAAATCTAGAGATTATATTATACATTTTAAATCATCAGAGGCTTAAATTTTTCGTCAAGAAGGATTGGTAATTCTCTCTAAGAAAATATAAACAAATATTTCACCGAAACTAAATTTTGTGAACAAATTTCAAGTTAAAAACCAAGTAAAATGCTACTGAGTCAATAGAATATCAATATGAAAAAAGTATCTTGATCCTTAAATTATACAATATACAAATATCAAGTCATATGGATGACAGATCTAAATAAAGATTTTAGAAAAAAGCACAGAACAGATCTGCCAACTTGGAGTAGGCAAAGATTTATTAAGCTGTATACAAAAAGCATAAGCCACAAAAGAAAACATAACAAATTGGACCTTTTCAAATCAGGAACATCTGGTTATTAAAAGATCTCATCAAGAAAGTGAAGTGAAAAGGCAACACATACACACACACACACATAAACACACACACACACACACACGAGAGAGAGAGAGAGAGAACAATAAAGAATTCATATCCAGATTATATTAAAAAATCCTATGAAACAGTAACAAAAAGATTCAACTGATAAGAAAATGAGCAAAAGACTTGCAAAGGCAATTAACAGAAAAAGATACAAATTACCAATAACCATACAGAAAGGTGCTTTGGTCCATCATCATCAAGGAAATATAAATAAAACCACATTCAATACACATTCACAAGAATGGCTAAGATGAAAAAGAGAATGCCAAATATTGGTGAGAAGGTGGAGCAACTGGAACTCTTGTACATTACTGGTGTGAGTTTAAGTACATACAACCACTCTGGAAAAGTGGCTTACCTATTAAATCTGAACACACACATTCATATGACCCAGTAGTTCCCTCCTATCTATATATCCAACAGAAGTAGAATGTTTATAACACAGTATTCATAATAGCCCTCACCATCCTAAATAAAAAGAAACTCTTCAGATGCCTCTAAATAGTAGAATGAATAAATTGTGCTATATTCACTGCACAGTGGTAAGAATGGAAAAATAAACACAGTACTTGATCAATGTGGATGAATTTCATAAACATAAAGAATGAAGAATGAAAGAAGCCAGATACACAATAATACACTGTGTATATTTCTGTTTATATAAAGTATAAAAACAAGCACAACAGGAGAGTGACTACCTTTGGTGATGAGGGTTAGTGACAAGGAGGAGGTACAACAAAGTTTCTGGGTGCAGGACATGTTCTGTTTCCTGATTTGGGTACAGTTACACAGGTGTGCTGTTTGTTAAAGTTCACCTTGTGTACTTTGAGAATATTACACTTCGATAAAAAGTTTTTAAAAAGTTAAACAGTTTACTATTGATACACAGAATGTAGTAAGCAAAACAAAGTTGAATCAATCTTCTTGATGATTAAAATAAAAATTCCTCAAGATTTTGGGAAAGCAGAATTTGGGGGGCTTAAAATATTAGGGTGACCCTTTGCACTGTCTGATTCACCAAGCAGCTGCAGAATCTCCCATTGAGTTATACACAGACCCGGTCTCAGTATGACTTCATTTAGTTACAAATAAGTACAATGCCCAAACTAACAAATGGCCATGTAATGACTCAAATGGATTGTTTCTAAGGGGAAAAAAAATAAAGAAAAAAACATGTTGCAATAAAAGGAACTTCTGATTCAGAAAGTGGTGCAATCCCATGTGGGACGAACAACCCAATTAGTCAACATTCTCACAATCCTCAGATCCATTTTCCCAATAACGTTCCAGTGGCTTAAAAGTGTCAAAAAGTGTTTTAACAAACTTTTTCTCAGATAATATTGTAGAGTAGCTAAATCAAGCAAGCTATTATTTTATCCTTCAGACTTCCTTCAGAATATGTAAGGTTATTTGCAATCATACTTCTTTATGTTTTCTTAAATGCCTCCATTCTCCAATCTAGAATTATTACTTAAACTAGTGTTAAAATTGGGAAAGATAGGTTTTGAATGATAGGAAACTAAATGATATCCTATAGGATAAGGTCTTTGCTATAGCGCAATAGAAGAATGATGACATACTGTTTGGATTATGAGAACTTGTTTAGTGTTTTAAACATATATATGTATATATATTTAACTTGTCTAAATATATATATTTAAAGCAGAAAAAAATTAGGAGCCACGATGAGAGAGTCATTGTAATTTTAGTATCTATTGATTTAAAACTAGGTAATGACAAAAAGCCACTTCTAATTCAGCAGCATTTTGAATGAACTTGAATTTTCCTAATTATAAGAGCTTCTTTATACCCTTAGAAAACAGTGCGGGAGGTGTAATTCCAAATGGGATCTGGCTATCACTCCTTAATGTAGCTTCACAAAAGATAACCCAGACAAGATAACCCACCAATAAGGCTACTGAAAATCTGCCTTATGCCAGGTCAAGGCACAAGTGAATGCTAATTATAACAAAGTTGGATCTGTTTTAGACAAACAAAACAAAAACAGACCACCCAGAGATGTAATAAACTCCAGTTTCACGAAAAATTATCACCTGATAAAAGATAGGAAAATGTACAGTCTCTTCCCTGACTCTATTGCCAGATCTGGACTCCTAGAGCAATGACATGGCCTAGAACCAACAGAAGAGTGGGCACCCACTCATCTGCCCTCCTTGTGTTGCTGCTCTCTGAGGCAAGCAGAGTGCTGACAAATTCCTTTCCCTTCAACTTACTTTCTACCACCATCTCTCCCAAATGCAGTGCTGAGTCTAAAAATATTTTAAAAACAGTAATAGCAATAGCAGTCACAGCAAAACAACCAGGATTGGGAACTCCAGCACTTTGAAATATGCAGTTCGTTACCTGTGAGGCTGACTTCCTTGGTCAGGGGGACCTTAGGAATAGAGAGAAAAAGCCACGACAGTAGGACAGAAATGCATAGGATGAAAGCCTGCTAGGAGGTCGAATCAGACTGGTGATTCACCCCCGCAGACCAGCTGTGCGTCTCAGATGAGTGGAATCAAGGCTGCACGGGGAGCAGCGCCCAAAACAAGTCCCTCAGTTTATTGGTGCATTTGAAGACACTGAGTCTAAACAGATCTAACTGACTGGGAGATGAATCGGGACATAAGCAAAACGGGGCAAAAAAATGGCAGAACAAGGGAGAGGAAACAGCGTCACAGGAAGTGTATTCTTATGAAAATGAGCTAATGCAAAATACTAGAGCCAAAGTCATGCTTTTTAGCATTCATTCACAATTTCCCTCAACAGTATTTTTATTGTGTTCCCATTATGTGTTAGAGATACAGAAATGAGTAAAACAAATAAATATACTGCCTTAATGGAATCTACAGTCTCATGGAGGGAGGAGGGTAGAAAACAAATACAATATAAGGATAGTGTTAAGTGCACTAGAGAAAAATAACACATAAAAAGAATAGAGAGTGATAGTGGCAGGGAGAGGATGGAAAATTAGGCTATTTTAGGTAGAACTGTCAGAGAAGAGCTCTCCCTAAGGTGGTGATATTTGGGTAGAGACCTGAATGAAGACAGAAAGTGAGACATGCAGAATATGAGGAAAGAGCCTTCTAGGTAGCAAGAAACCATAAGTAAAAGCTCTGGATGGGAACAGTGTGACGTGCTTGAAGACTGGAGGGAGGGCTGGTGTGACTACGAGTGAAAACAGCAGTTATGAGGTAGAGAGAGGCTGCAGAGATCTCTGGAGACTACATGAGCAAGTAGGAACGTGTAGGCCACCGTGAGGAACTGGATTTTATTGTAACTGATGAACGATTATGGGGGAATGACAGTACCCAGTTTATGTCTTTAAAATTCATTGCTAGTGGGGAGAAAAAGTGAAGGAGGAAAGGAAAGCAAGCCAAGTCACTGAAAACCAATTCATCACAAATTTATTTGTAAGGAAACATCACTCTGCTTTCTCTTAAAATGTAGATAGTCACAGGGAATGCTGTCCCCATCTCCACAATGAGAGGAAGTTGGATAATCTATAAATCTTAACTTTTGTTAAACCCACCAGAGATCTGAGACTGTTATTCAACGAGAGAAACTGAATTCCAGAGGATGACAAGCCCCTCCAAGGGGAGACGGGACACATGAACTGCTTCTGGCTTTGGCAGTGGCAGCAGGAAGAGGTGGCAGTCATAAAAGCAAGAACAAAGAGTACAACCAAAATGTTGATGGATTCTTAAAGGGCAAATGTGAATTAGCATGAGATTTTACAGCCCTGGAAATCCCCACATGGGAGCACTAGGTATTCATTTTCCAGATCTCTTCCACAGGTCTCCACTGGGTGTTCACAAGAAAGATGGAAAGATTGGAAGTGGGGTGGAAGCCCCCAGTAGTACAAGACATCAGATGCTGACCTGAGGCTGTTGGGAGGGAGGCAGCAAACATGACTGTTTCTGGGACCCTTCTCTTACGGGCAGCAGAAACCACCTGCCCTTGGGAGAGAGGCAGAAA